CTTTGAGAACATTTGCTAAGGGCAATGATGTGGTCATCTGCTGCTACCTTGGCGACCATAACCTTATGATCAATGGCCAGAAATCGCTTATTGATGCGTGTGAGTCAGAGGGAGTACCCCGCTATATAGCCAGTGATTACAGCCTCGACTTTACGAAGTTGGAGCTCGGAAAACTTCCCGCCAAGGATCCTATGAAATATGTTAAGCAATATTTGGAAACCAAGAGGGTTCAGGGAGTTCATGTCCTGATTGGTATTTTCATGGAAACGTTTTTCACCACATTCTTTAATGTCTGGAAGCCTCGGGAGAAAGCGTTTTCCTACTGGGGAACTGGGGAAGAGATTTGGGAGTCTACCTCTTACGATAATGCGGCCCAGTATGTCGCAGCTGTTGCCCAAGACAAAGCTGCAGTCGGAGTCCACAGATGTGAGTAACAGCATTCGTTTTTATCTGAAGATTCATTTTGGTACTAACCAAGATAGTCCTCGGCGACCGTAAAACCATCCGAGAGATTGCTAGCGCTTTCGAAAAGCAATATGGAGTGAAGCCATGGTTGCATAACCTTGGTACTCTGGATGAACTTCATAGCTACATGCACCAGGTCAGAGAAGCTGACACTGAAAATTCCATGGCTTGGATTCCTCTGTAAGTGATAAGGGTCCAGTTCCACATTAGGGGCAAAAGATATCTAATATAGCCTCCGTCGCTCAGATTCTATCAGTACTATTGCAACAATGGACAGGCTTATTTGAACCCGGAAATTGACCCTTCGGAGTATACCGAAATTCCACGCCTGGGATTCGCCGATTTCTTTGAGCGCCATTCCCAGGAATCTCTTTCTACTGCAGCTTGGGGCGTCGGATCGGAAAATTGAGGCACCATCTCGACTTTGTATAGAGCTGTTGGCGATCTATTCCTGTGGTCCTGAGAGTTCAAATCTGTCAAACGGGAGTGGGATATCAATACCACGAGGAGCCACTGGAGGAGACTGTGGGAGGTTCACAGGTGATGGGAATTTACTGCTGAGAGTGAATATACGCCACGTGACGGGCCTAGCACCTATTTAAAAAGCTTTGTTTCTCTCATAAGACTTCCGAATATCAGAATCCTTTTCCAGAATCTCTCGCCATGAACAGGAATACACGATTTCCTCGCTGGTTTTGCATGGCAATCAGCACTAGAAAACTGCACTGTAACGCGCTTAGCATTGTACGGGATGTTTCGGCCTCTGCACGGGACCGAAAAGACCCCAACCAAGACCGCACCGTGCGGTCTTTGGTCCTTGGGACCGCGGGGCGGTGCTGCGGTCCTGCAAACAAGCAAACATGCACTATCACATATAGGCAAGTTTTATGAAAATTTCGTCTGTTTTAGAAGTGTATCGGAAGGTTTATTATATGGTTTGTTTATCTAAAATATACACTGTTATATTGCTATATATAGAGATATCTAGTTAATACATAATATATCCGTCTAGTCCGGTTAAAAAATACGGAGATTTTTAATGTAATTAATTTTTGGCGTTTGCTGTAGAAAATGGTGGTGCTCCTACCACAAACATAAATATACTTAAATGTAGGTTGTCCACCAGTACCTATTACTATATGCTACTGCATACTTTTTGCCATCGTATTTACCCTAATATATTAGTATTTTCTATGGATCTATGGATATTTCATCCAGAATACGAATATTTCTTGTAGATAGTAGTATATGCTACTATATAACGTGTGAAGGGTATATATTACACATTATTATTAAGGTAAATATCCAGCCAAAATAGGTAATTCTTGGCATAATTATGCAATTGAGGTTTCACCACGGTGCGGTCCTAACTAACCTCTAATTTTAGGACCGCAGGACCGCACCATGCAGATGTTATGAAACCAGTACTCGGATAGATTGTTGGATTTCTTCGGACAAGAAGAATTTGACGCACTTCCTTGCATACCAGTCCAAGCCATTTTCAATTCTTTCGTCAAAATGCCTTGGTGAAAAGAGCTCGTATCTCCTTTACCCGTACCATAACACTCTACAGTATACGGAACTTTACTCCGTACAGTATTACGATACAACTCCAAACTAGTGCGTTTGTCGCAATTCGCCCCACAACCAAGACTGTCCAATAGGTACTCCAATCGCAAAGCCGCATCCTTGGTTTACTGGGGACCGTGACCGCGATGATGTCACACAGACCAATGAGCTTAACTATAAGTAGTAGACTTGGACCGCACTCCCAATTATCCTTTACATTCATATCCAGATTTCAGAATGGTGAAGCCAATTGCGATTATTGCCGGTGCGGGCCCTGGAACAGGGAGCGCCGTCGCCCGCCGGTTCGCTCGAGCATACCCGGTCGTTTTGCTTGCCAGATCGCAATCCCTTGATGCTTTGGTCCAAGACATCACGCGAAGCGGTGGTTCTGCAATTGGAATACCCACCGATGTCACCAGCTCCTCAAGCATGAACTCAACCGTGGAGCAAATCAAGGAGAATTTTGGCTCCGATGTTAGTGTCGCAGCGGCGATCTATAACGTTGCGAGCAAGTTCACTCGAAAACCATTCCTGGAACAGAGCTCGGAAGACTTCCTAGGAAGTCTAGAGCCTTCGATAAAGGGGGCTTTCAATTTCGCCCAGGCCACGCTACCTTTGATGGTGGGGGCAGAAAATGCACAATATCACCCTACCCTTATTTTCACCGGTACGCCACAGAGAAGTTAAAAACGGACTCACAGAACCTCTCTAATTGAATTTCAAGGCGCGACAGCTGCACTCAAGGGTGGCTCGGGGCTTTCTGGTTTCGCTATGAGCAAGTTTGGAATTAGGGCTTTATCACAGTCCCTCGCGCGCGAATTCGGCCCCAGGGGTGTTCATGTCTCTCACGCCATCATTGACGGCATCATTGATACCGAAAAGACCAAGGAATATAGCCGGGAGATCCCAGATTCCAAAATCGATCCCCAATGGGTAAGTGATCTGGGTACTAACCATAAAGAGATTGATATTAATTACCTCTTTCTAGATCGCCGAATCATACTGGTTCCTGCACACCCAGCCCAGAACATCGTTCACGCACGAACTGGACCTTAGGCCATACTCGGAAACATGGTAAACGGGATAGAGGTATTATATCTAGCAACATCCTGCGTATTGTGCTGGGTGGGTCTGGTTGGTGTTTGGGTACGCGATGGTAATTTATAAGCGTGCCTTGTTTCGTGCGGGAGCAGTCATCTTACTCCTGAAAATTCTCCTTTTGTACCACCTCCCCGACAAGTACTTGTTGGGAAAGTGCTTTTTGGAAGTACGAAAAATACGATAAGGGCAGTTATCTTTCGGTCCAAGAAAGCCCGGGACAAATATGCAATTGTCTTGGAGCACCATTCCGTTCTATTATAATATCATCAATACATTCACTTACGGAAAAAATATGGAAATAATATGTACCCAAAGAAAACAAAAAAGCATATCCCATCCGCGACTAAACTAAGCGTCCTAAATCTAGCGCGATTTCATTTACCCTCCTTCACTTTGCAATCACGGAAGAAATCCTCAACCTTGGTCCAAGTCAGCTCTGGATAGCGGGAGTTGTCGATAGGATCGAGTTTGCCAGCGCCAGACATCATATTTGCCATATATTGCATTCCCTGCCAGGCGGGGAACACATCATTTTCACCGCCGAACAGGCGCATGACTCGGATCATGAACTCCATGAATCCAATAGGGCCCATCCAGCTGGGCTTGTATTGCACACCTTGCACCTTGGTTTGCGCGTTGGCGATATCCTGCACGCTGACAATGTCGCTTGCAATGCGGAGGAAGTTAGGAGCAGGGTTCGGGTCAGCGGCCACGGCAGCAGTATAGGCAGCCGTATCAGCCATAGTTGTGAAGTCGAGCAGCTGGGTCGGCTTTCCGATATAAGGGACCTTGTGGCTCTTGTGGTTGATCATAGGTGTGTCGCCAGCCATCAGATCCATGAAGCCACCGTTGAGGATACTGGTCCAGGCAATGCCGGAGTTTCTCAACTGGGCGTGGAATTCACGACGCAGGTCCAAGTTCCTGTTGGATCCTGGCTTGGTTTTGGTGAAATCGAGGGAGAAATCGGATGGGATAAATCGCTGCACCTTGGCAGCCACGGAAGCCTGGAGCAGTTTGCCCTGCAGACTGTGAATAACCTCTCGCAGACCCTGTAGGGTGGAGACAACACATGTAGCGCCGGTAAGCTCGCGGGTGAGGGATGTGACATCACTGAGGTTGACTGGAATGATGACAACGCCGGCCTCGCGGAGTTTTTGGGTGCGGGATGCATCGGTGTTCGGGCGCACGAGGGCCTTCACAGCCACGCCTCGTTTAATCAGCTCCATCACGACAAGCTGGCCCATTCCACCGGTCGCGCCCACGACTGCAACAAATGGTGAAGCCATTTCAGCTCTGTTTGGAGGCAGAGATGAGGATAATTGATATTATGAGTAGCGGCTTTTTGGATAAAAGATAAGTAGCAAGCCAGATGTGAAAAATATAGATATGGATGGAATATATATTGAAAACCCTTCAGCAATAAATATCCTTCATATTGATTAGCTCAATCGCGTACTACGTAGTTCCTACCGTTTCCAATCCGTCGGAGGGCTTAGTCAAGCTCTCACAAATTTGAACCTGAGAGGTTCGCTTTCGGGCATTCGTTATTAGTCAATGTGGCTGGTAGCCTGCTATTGAAATCGGCCTCGGGGCCTCGGGCCTGACTCCACAGGCCGAGGACGTTACCCCTGGCAGCCCACCCGAGTGTATATCTGGCACCTAGAGTTGGATGACCCACCATCGAGAGTTGACTAAATGCGCTAAGCCGTTTTAAGAACCAACTCTCGAAGTGAGGTTCCGAAACAGGTCTAGCGCCGTATATTGAACAAGCGGATACACACACGCGTAGAAATTGAATTTTCTCTCTCCTTCCCACTGCCGGCCGACCGAGCTCGTTCACATACCCAGCTTATTATACGTTTACCATGGCTTCCACAGGGAGTGAATCGGATAGGATTGATAAGGAAAATGATCGTTTGATTACGGAGCGGATGATACGGGAGGGAGAGAGCCAAGTAAGCAGATATCTACTAGATATGTCCCAGACATCTGTCAGATATCCAGACCACATTCTCATAAATGTTATTAGTAGAGCCCCGATCAACCAGGGCCGACCTGGCTTACCGAAAGTAAGGGGCACCGTCTCAGTGCTACCGATATTGAATACGTTAAGGATCTACTAGAGTACCCGCAGACTAGTGAGGGTGGATATGCCTATATTATCCCTGTCGGGGAACGCACAGCCGAGCAGGTTCATGTATTGATCTTGACAACAGTATGTGTCAGACTAGATATCCTATAGATATCTACCGGATATCTGATATACTCTTATAGGTACAGTACTCGTACCGTCAAGTCTACGCTAATAAAGCATACAAGAATAATAATTTTCTTGGTACTAACTACACACACTCACGATATAACTGCTCTAGTACATTTGTGTATCAATATAGCGACCTAATTATTAGGTCAATGACACACACAGCAGTTAACGAGGGTCTTTAGTCGACTATTCAGGGTATTCGGTAAAATATGCCCTTCATAGAAGATGATCAAGTTCGCAGAGAGACATATACGTAGGTATCTAGTAGATATCTGCTAGATACCTAGCTAACGCTTAGTAGATATTTCTCTAGTACGCACACCCTTTTCTAGCGCGGTACTAGCTATCAGGCTGCTTTACCTTCCTGTTTCCTAGTCCTTACGTAGAGCGCTGATAGAACTCCGCTTAGTGGTTATACCTACGTAGTAACATACGTAAACGAGCTTCAGGTTCCTGGCTATCACTATCGCTCAAACACAATTGCTAGGGACGGGAGTATTGACATTAAGTTTCTAGGTAGCTTATTGACTGGAGAGATTCCTAGTCTTGTGGAGTCATGCTGTGCGGTTAAAGGGATACTGAAGCGAACTCCAAGATATGGTAAGTTGCTGGATATTACCTAGGTATCTGTCAGGCATCTAACAGATATTTACCGACTCTAGGATACTCCTATATCCAAGGCCCTAGGCAATAGGAGCGCTTAGGTTATAAGGTTAGATTCGACTAGCTTATTCTCTAGTACCTTCAGAAATACCCGTTCTTCGTTTTTATATCCACTAGCCGCTATCTCCACCCTCTAGTACCCCCGAAGCGGAGCCTATTAGCTATTGTCGAGGGTCTTAAGAGGTTAATTACAAGGATAAATAGACTAGATCTTATAACAGGTATCCCCTAGATATCTAACAGACATCTAGCGAATATCTAACGCCCCTTCAGGCAAATTTCTCGCGAGCCTAGAGCTACAGAGATTCTGTGAACAGCACTAGCATTATACGCTTGCGGAACTTCATGTTAGCTTCGTGAATACAGATGGACTTACCGCTATTATTCGAAAGCATCGCCTTCTATCATTTCCACAAGGCCAGAGTCTAAACAGGGTTCTGTTTGAACGTGATAGGAATTCGGAGATAAGGGTAAGTGTGAGCAAGCGATGCTGCGCAGGTTGATAAAGAGGAAGATAAATTAAAGATGATTAAATAAGATCGATTGATCTTTCTTCCTCTTGATTGAATAGGAAGGATAAAATCAATTCGGCTTAGAATCATAAAGATAAAATAAGAGAAGAGTGAGGTAGGACTGAAGCTTGGTTGATTGTATTGAATCTGCTTGTATGTCTTAAAACATGATTATTATTTTGGTAGAGAATGCAGGGCATATTTATAACCAACTTGTCTCTTGCATGTGATCGTTCTAGATGATGCATGATGATCTCATGCAGACAGATCTAGATGCATAGTGATCTCATGCAGTAGCTGTTTGATCGGTGGTTGCTTGATTATACGATGTCATTGACTGTAGTGATGATGTAGATCGTATACTATTGTATGCGACTTGTACGATGTCATTGACCGTAGTGATGATGGTATAGCATAAAGCTTATAGAGATTCAGCCATCTTGTATAGGCCTTATGAATCTGGCTTGATATGCTGCATGACGGTTTAGGCATCTTGCCCTATATCTCACAGTAATTCACTAGATATCCCGCAGATATCTAACGGATATTTAATCGTGCTAGGATTATACACGCGAAATCTTCAACGATCCTAAGGGTCCTATAATTATCTGTCTATTTACTAGATAAGCCTACCTCTTAATAAAGGCTTCATCTTATAAGGTTGATATATCCTATAGGCGCGTGAAAGATAAAGATATAAAGGAGGTCGTTTTTGCATCTTTCTTTCCTTTAATTAGACGTAGTAAGTTCAACAGATATCCCTTAGATATCCGCTAGATATCTAACCCCCTATTTATCCTAGTCCGAACCCTCTATCGCGTCTTTACAACATAAGATATAAGGCTAGGCTACTACCGCTTATTTAAGCGTGTATATACACTTCTCGAGCGTATCACTAGGGTTAGGCCGCTAATACGTATTATCGATGGATTTAGACTTGATATAGTTATTGCTGATATGTGTGCAAAGTAATATTTTAGTAAGCTGAATATCCCCTAGATATCTACCAGATGTCTTACTTCTCTAGGGTTTACCGATTTTCTCCACGACTACGATCCCGAGTACCGTGATGGTGAAGTTTTAATACGTCAGATAGCTATCTTCTGCCATATTCACTTTACTAGAGGGGTCAACGATGCTCTAAGGCGTGCTGGTGGTAGTCAACCTGGTATACGCCAACGAATACTACAACTCCTTTATGCCTAGGACCGGGAAGGGTATAACGCAGTAATCGACTTTTTAGAAGGTATTTAGATATCCCACAGTTATCTAGCAGCTATCTACCAGGTTTCTAACGTCTCAACTAAGCTACTAAGCCCGCTCTTACTAACTGGGCTAAACATAAGCGACATAAGTGGGTTATGTGTAGCCTAAATCCAGCCTATTCCGATTCACCACCTCCGTACTTTGAGGCAATTCGTAAGAATACGAATGCTATAGAGCAGACTCATCATAAATCAAACGTTCGTAGGATACAGCTTACGCTACTTGCAGCTATTCTAAGGTAAGTCTCTAGATATCCCTTAGATATCTGGTAGATATCTAACCCCTTCTAGTTCCCTTAAGCTCGACTGCCAGGACATCCAGGAGTATAACGTTCGTCAACGATAGGCAATCTCTAGCCGATATACAGATTCCTCAAGAGAAGCCTATCTCACACGGTATCTACATACTGCGCAGCAGCGCCGTGTTAGCCGGAATCGGACGCAACTTGATAATAAACCCCTTCTAGATCGGGTTAGTAGTAGTGGAGTGCCGATTCGTGGACGATCTTCTACAAGCTCATCAAGCCGTTCTAGATCAGCGTCCCGGCGCCTTGCTCCTTATAATCGTCACCGGTTAACACCCGAGGATACAACCCTATCGCAAATAAGGAGACAGGCTAAAGAGGAAAGGCTTCAACTTGAGCTTCAAGACGCTGCACTTCAGAGGATGCAGCAACAGGCAGAAGAAGAGAAGCTACAAGCAGAGCTTATCGAGGCAAAGGTCTGACGGTATAAAGCGCAGAAAGAGCTAGAAGAATTAGAGAAGGAAACTAGACACCCGGTAGATATCTAATGGATATCTAGCAACTAAGGCTTCCGTTCTATAATATATATATATCTACGTGGTCTACGTCGAGAAAACATTCCGTTAAATTCGTTAATTTATGTAGGAAAACTACAAATTAATGTAGTAAAAAACCTCAGGAGTGCTCTATCTAAGCCTCATCTAGTTCCTCATCCTAGCTTTCCTCAGGGATATCAAAGGTAGCTAGATGATCGCAGATTGCCTTATTGAAAATGCATCCTAGGAAGAGTTAGTTATACCAGATATCTGCGGGATATCTAGATACTTACTTTTCGGCAGGTCTGCAGCCTTACAGGCAGCGCAGGGGACATCCTTTCGGGCATTAAGACCCAGGATGCGAAGGACTTCGCCCTTGTTCACCTATATAATAGTTAGCTAGTTATCTGCCAGATATCTAGGAGATATCTCATCACTTACCTCACCACCTCTCTTCAGTAGAAGAGGGCGCTTAGCCGGGGCGGCAGCAACGGGGGTAGCCTACGAGGCTCCGCGGCTATAAAGACCATTAAAAAAGGCCTTAGCCGCATCCTTCGTGGCTTTATCCAGATTTCCAGCCTTCAGCGTAACGGGAGCAAAGCCGTCCTAGCTGTGGGCCTTCTTCAGGTGCTCACGAAGCCCAACTATCTTCTAGAAGGCTTTCTAAAAGTCTGTTAGCTGTCTGTCAGATATCTGAGGGATATCTAGGGACTTACTTTTCTATGCTCGCAGTCCGGCACTCGGCAAAACACCTCTCCAACATAGACGATGACTTCATCATCCGCATTCTATCAATCATCAGTCAGTTATCCGCCAGATATCTGAGAGATATCCACTTACTCTTTGGTATGCTAGGAGGGTCAAAACACCAGAGGGGGCACCATTTAGATACCGATCGAACGCGCCGCAGTTCACAAGGAACTTTAGCTTGTTGATTTCGAAGGGAGCCATCTAGATAACTGTCAGATATCTGCCAGCACTTACCGCCTCCCTATCAGGAGCGCCTAGACGTCCGACAGATATCTAGCCACTCCCCACCACCAATATTACCACCAACCACACTCACCTGGTGCCCAAAAACTGTTGAAACTTTCTAAAAATTGCCGAATCTGTGAGCCCGTTAGTTACCTGATAGATATCTGATAGATATTTAGTGAAATTCGATGATTTGGGGATGAAACCTACCGTGGTTCGATGGCAAGGGGGTGGGAGAGATGGGGAGGAAGGAAGATTACAGGTGGGGCTGTATGCCAAGGTATTTGGAGTGGGCCCGCCAGAGTTGGCCGCTAAACCCGATTAGGCCTAGCGCGGTCCAACTCTCGAGAACAGCTTTTCCAACTCTCGGACTGAACTATTTCCTGAGCGCCTGAGCCCACTGGACCCGGAGGCTCGGACATCGGTCGAAGGAGAGTTTTACATATCTAAAATGTTATGATTATCCAACACGGAGACCGAATATCGATCTGTGGTAGTTAGAATCCGTTACTAAAGCCCTGAAGTTTTTTCAAATAAAATATACGAATAGTCCACACGCTCAAGGCACTTCAGTATCAGTCGACTATTTCATTGATACTTATAGAACTCCAGTTTTGGTTTAAAGAGCAACGATCGACGTTCTCTGTGCCGCGCAACATGACCACCCGCAACGACTATGAATTTAGACTATTCAACCGCATGGCAGATACTATGCAAGCACTTGTACGTATTCTTCTCGGAGTTAATATCGCTTGAACTGATCTAATTTCGTAGCATCAATGGTTTCGAGTGAGATGGGATTTCATATATCAGGTGGCTGAATCATCTCAGCGCCCGGCCGGAATGTCAGTCAAAAAATACCTCCAATTATGTTTGGAGTTTTGTGACAATCTTGAAAGACATCATAACATTGAAGAAGTATGCATTCATGAATCTAGTTATGCCCCGCATGAGCTAACCAAGATACTTTCTCTCATCCAGACCCGTGTGTTTCCATATCTTGCAATGCGCATGCCTGCCTTCGCTCGCCAGGATCAATTGATCGCACAGCATAAAGTGATTCATCAAGGCCTGGAAAAGTTAGAGTCGTATGCACGAGACTGTCTTGGCGGTCAGAAAGACTTTAAAATGCATGAAATAAAGTCGATACTAGATTCCTTCGGTAAGACCCTATGGGATCATTTAGATGACGAGGTCAGAGAATTGGGTGCAGAACAAACACGAAAGTACTGGACAGCAGAGGAAATGACAAGGATGCCAATGTAACTTAGTTATAGATACAGACAAAATAAAACACATAATGCATAAAATGAATGTATTGTATTGCCATATACGTTCGTGCTTTTAGTATGCTTGAGTGAAGTAAAATGTTTGAATTATGGGCGGATAAGATACGTATTCATTGATGTTTTCAGCAAAGTCGATACGATGTTTGTGTGAGCTATTCATTCCTGTGCATAAGAAAGTGATGCAGTATTGACATAATACATATTTGTCCGTCCCAAACTTGTATGTTGTCATTTTCATAAGATCAAGCCTGTACGCTCGGGGGGATTCTTGCTTACGGCTGAGTAATGTAGTTACACATAACCGTCTTAGTCAGTTTCGGGGTTTCGGTCTTACTTTTCATGCCGAAATTCATTTTTGCCTCCGTGCTAAATCGCTATTTGACCGGCAATACCGTAAAGGGTAACGGGGCGGTCACGGTGAGTAGCGTTATACGCCCACCGCTATTTCAAGTTATGACACGGGAGAAAAAGTCATTCACATGATCTAAAGTAAAAGAAGAGCTTGATTTTCTAATATTAGTTCCCCTCTCTTCGGATTTACTCCCAGTTTCTGGTTAACCCAATAATCACATGATCTAAAGTAAGAGAAGAGCTTGATTTTCTAATATTAGTTCTCCTCTCTTCGGATTTACTCTCAGTTTCTGGTTAACCCAATAAAGCAAAGGGCGACGGCACTGACCTAATCTTTATCGTTATCCCTGTTCGAAGTGGAGCGCACACACGCGTACAGCAGCATGAATCTCGCGGGTCCAACTCCAGATAGCATGCTTCTGGTCCCCATAAAATTCGCTGCATGAGTGTTGTCTTGGTCACGACCGATAACAATCCCTTATTCTCCGTATTTCAGCGGCTATTCTGCCTTCTATGCGACACTAGCACAGGTTCTGTTTCCTGTATCCACATGGGTGCAAGTACGACCAAGGTCTATGACGACTATCTGTGGCTCCTTAAGCGTAGTACCACTCGGCTTTCAAGTTGCTACCCAGACTTATTCTATGATATTCCTTGACCGAACATCGCTTCTTTAATATGTTGTGCGCGTGCCGTTTAGATATCAGCACTCGGTTTCTATTTTGAGCCCTGAAATAAGCATATAAAATTGGCAACAAAGGGAATGCTGGGGTTGGTTTTTGTCATATTCTTTCAATAACTATAGCATTCAGATCTAATAAAATACAAAACAATGGTTGATTGCCCACGTGGCGCCTGGCACTTTGCTCCCTGCAATGCCTTGGGCATGTCACAAACCATGAGAGCCTGATTAACTCATTTGAGCGCCACCGGAAACGGAGAATTTGGCCGGTGAGCCACTGGGCCTCGGGACTTGCCAACAACGCCATCACCCCGGACACATCATCTGGGAACCCAGGTCTGCCAAGTGGAGACCATTGAGACATTTTTTCGTCAATTTCAGCTTCTGACATATTTTCACCTCCGGGGAGATATTTGGCTGCTGCCTCCTTACCCATGTCGGTCTTGATTCCTCCCGGTGCAATAGCATTAACAGTGATACCACGGGGACCGAAATCGTATGCAAGACACTTGATCATGCCGTGGATTGCGGCCTTAGAAGCTGCATAAATTGCATGTTCGGGCACACCCTAGGGGAAACTCATGTTAGTTTGGCATTATCTTTCATTACTAGAGTTTCGGTTTTCTACCTTGAAAGCGGAGATGGAGGACATCAAGATTAAGCGACCGTTATCGGCCAGATGCTTGTAGGCTTGTTGGGTGACAAAAAATTGTCCCTTGACATTCACTCGTAGGATGTTATCGATTTCAGCTTCAGTGACGGTAGGAACACTACCGAAGTGCTCAATACTGGAGTTGCTCAAGACAATATCCAAGCGTCCAAACTCCTCCATGACTTTCTCGAAAATCGCCTTGATATCGGTCTCCTTAGAGACATCCGCCTTGAGGGTAATGGCTCTGACGCCAAATGATCTGATTTTCTCGGCAACGCTCTCTGCCGCCGCTGCAGAGTTGATATAGTTCACGGCAACGTCAGCGCCATGTTGAGCCAGGCGCAAAGCGGTTGCTGCCCCAATGCCCCGACTCGACCCAGTCACTTCATTGAGTTAAAGTTGTCAGACCCAATTTCTTTACTTGTCAGGTTGGGAGAACCATACCGAGGGCGACTTTTCCAGCTAGGTTTTGAGAGATTGGAGACATCTTTGGGTAGTGGCGTATGAGTTTGGAGAGTTCCTCGGGTTCAATGGACTGAATTTATGGTTGAATTCTTCGCATCGCTCCACCTAAACATCGGTAGATCGGTGATCCTTTATTTCACCACAGATCGGGCTTGGGCTTGATGTGTAGACCGAATTAATGAGGGTGGATACAGCTGAAACCAGCTTGAAGTGACAAGGAAATTATACTGGGTATCAATCAAGGTGGTTTCAGGTATTGTTCGCGGTGCTACTAATCTAGCGGATGTGTCTTCAGCTGTCAAAATCATCAAAACTACAACTGGATATATAACTGCGATTGATATATGAAAATCCAGGCCATGTATCGACCTCGCTTCGACACCATTTTCTTGCCCATGGCAGCGTAATGTAAATTACAAAAGACAATATAGCCTAATGATTACCAAAGACTCGACAGAAAACGGCGATGAGCAAGTGCTCGCCCGAGCAGAACGCCGAGCCCCGATCTTACTAATGATCAGCGGGAAAGAACGAACGATTCCTTGCTGCCCGCACTCTAGTAAGATGAACCCGGCCGGCCGAGGTCCTATCTGCCGGCATTGCGCATTCAAGTAGAAAATTACCTGCCCCCACCACCAGCAAGCTACACCGACCGATTTCACTTCCAAAGGAACCCATAACAGGACCATTCTATAGTTGCTCTGTTGCTTGCAACGATCGGCCAGAGAGCCGATTGTCCCTTACCGCATGCCTCTGGCTAGCAAAAGGCTGATGAATGCATTGCCCATAGTCGTGTGTGGCAAGTCGACGCCGGTTTCAGTTGGCCTGAAAGAAGGCATCAGACCAATTTATCAAGGTAAGGTATCGCATTAAATAATATCGCGTTAAATAACAGCATTTTCTCCTATAACGATGGAATGGCTAATGGTTGAAAGCACTACACATCGTTCATTCGGTAGACGCGGGAGTGAGGGATATTCCATTTCTCTTGCAGAGCCTCCCCCCTCCGTCCAGGGAATGGGCGAATCTTGGGTCTCAGGAATACGGTAAAACTGTGCACGCAGTGGTGGTGGGGGGCGGATATGGCGACCCGGAATTTGAACAGCTTCGAAATGCTAGCGAGGGAAAAAGCAGAGTTCCGTGGCTACGTCATGACGTCACTAGAGATATCGACCCAAGAAGACCTAGACCTAAGGTTGGGATCGAATACGGGGAACAGCTAGCGACGAGAATCGTGGACTGCCTGCAGGAATTAGAGAAGAGCGGAAAAATGAACTCCGATGGGATCTATTGGTTTTAAGCGAATTCCTAATAAGACAAAGACGGGATTCAAACTTGATCTGAGTTGGACCTTGTATTGGAATGTAACAGTCTGGCCACAGATGCTTCGTATCAAAGCTGGGTAAATGGAAATGAATCTGGTATCTAGTATGAAGAAACCATCTGTAAAGCTGAAAGAAGGCTGTCATGATGGTTCGGGTAGTTCTCGGCCTTGCTGTCAGAATGCTATGTCTGGCTGAAGTAATGTGTAAAATAC